AAACACTTTTTTATTTGACATTCAGATTACAGAGATGATAAGAGCCGGATGACTCTTCTGCCTGATATTAGATTGTTATGTTTACGTAAAGTTTTTTTTTTTTTTAAACCTGAAGACCCATTATTATTATTACATGCAACAGTTGCGTGCAAATGCATGGGAAGCAAGAAAAAAAGAGGGAGAGGATACAAAATGCTCAACGCATCATGGAAAATTCCCCAACAACTTGAACTAAGGGATTGTTCGAGGTCACGTGATCAAGCTTAACTACCATCTTTGTCAAAAAGGAAAGTTTGTAGAGAGTAAAAAGTAAAGATGCTGCCTGTTTGAAACTCGAGGAACCACAGCATTCACACTGAAGGTGAAGTGCTTAGTTGTGATGATATGGCACCATGAGGTGCTCAAGATATGATGGGCCTGATCATTTAGGACTTTCTTTGTACGAGAAAGGATTTTAAATTCAACCTAACAGAGCGGCAGATCAGCGCTGCTAGGAGAGGTACAGCCTGGTCAGGTCACCAGTCTATTACAAGGCTAACACAGTAGGAAGAAGACAACCATTTTTCTCACACATATTGCCACAGCATGCATGTCTTTGGACTGTGATAGGAAGCCAGAGTACTCACCAAGAGCCCATGCAGGTGCAGGGAGAATACGTGAACTCCACACAGAAAGGCCTGGTGGTGAATCCAAATCCAAGATAATCATGCCTTGATGTTATAAACACTGTACCAACGTGTTCCCTAGTCTTTAGTGTACCTTACCTCTCTCACCATGATAACTGGATTTCTCCAGTCCCGTATGACCCTGAATAAGCGGTAAGTGGAAGCTAATTGCCAAAAGCCTTGTTTCTTGTATTTAGCAGAAAGCTAACTTCCTCTTGTTTTGGCCTTATGAAATCCACTTCATGCAATACCAGAGTGTTCAGGAACTCTGGTATTGTGTGAAGGTAGTGGATAAAGTGTAATTCCCCTTTAAGATACAGCTTCATTATCTGTTCCTCTATTCGTGCCCCTGCATAACCACATCTGTGCAGATTCAGCCCTGTTACTGTCTTCCCTGCCCTGCTGAGCTGAAACATAATAATTGGCTTTTTTGTCCATATTGAGAGTTAATGTTTCTACTTCCTGCTAACATGGGAGCACCTTATCATTTCAGCACAGATAAAACAACAATTATTTTGTTAACATTCAACAAGTACAGCTTCTGGGAGTCTTAGTAACAGACCCACCATCAACATATCAAGGGAAGTTTGTTGAATGCTAACAAAAGAAATAGTAGCCTGAAAGTAGGGCGGATCTTGGACTCTCTGTGCCAATACACACATACAGTACGTGTGCTTTTGCACATACACATGCACTCACACACTCAAAAACACCAAGCAAGCAGAGATTCTCACCCCCACTCTCAATCCTTCTGCAAAACTACCCTCCTTAGCTCATTGTGCCAGATCTATTAAAGCCCAAACAAAAGACACTTGTTTTGATTCGTGTTTTTGCAAAAGACCAGCCTCGAACTACCATCAGATGTGCCGAAGGATCCGAGGATCCACGGACGACACTGAGCCAAGCTGTCAAACATTTATGACAAACTCTCTTCCAAAACAAGGCATAAATAAAAAAAATAGATAAAATATGTCACAAAAACTGAACAAAGCTGTGAGGCTGTAGCTAAAGGAGCAGGAGTGTGATTAAATACAGCATTGGACTGGTGTTCAGCTACAGTAACTGGCACATGGGCACAAGTATAAGGTTACGTGGCCAAAGCCAGTCAGGAGTGGTCTCATATGATACACTTTTGGCCTGGACTTCAAAGAAGTCTCTTTTTACACCCAAGTCTTGAATCATTTTGATGGCAAATCACTGGTGACTGTTCTTGGGGACATTTCCCAGTGTTTGCAATTTCTACTTGATGTCACATGTACCGTACTTCAAAAATAAAAACTTAACAGATGTTCAAGGAAGCCCAATCATTCAGTGCAACTTTTATTAGCAAACGAATATTTCATTTATTGAGCAAATCATATATATGCAAATTATTTAGGCTTTTAAATCCTGTATACATTTGTTGCACATCTGCAAGCCACTTTTCAACCCACCTGCTCTTCCTTTTCTGCTGTGTCTATCTTAACCAGCCTGATATCCATTGTCACTGCCGCTCTGTTTTGTGCCAGGCTCTTGCTGGTGCTCTCGCCGCCTCTGGCTTTCCATGTATGCACATGAAAAAGCAGGGAGGTGTGAACTGCCAGGCCTCAGAATGGAGCCATGCCACCAAGGATAAATTACTCCAGATGGTGTCACGAACCAGGCTCAAAGGGAAAGACAAAATATGGAGAACACATATCACTTGTATGAAAAGTAAAATAAGTAATTAAGTAATCTGTTATGTCTGAATGGCTGCAGATGGCCAGGGTAAGTAAATAAAGAAGTAAATCAAAGTCAAATGTAAGTCAAAGGGAGAAAAGAGTGATTGACTGCTGAGGAACATAAAGTATATACCTGCAGATGAGCAATCTGCAAAAAACACCCATCCTGCTTGTTGAGTGTAAAATTACATTTAGCTGGAGCTGACATGAAGTTTAAGAGCCTGAGTGCCACAAATCAAAGGACCATCTTCTAAGTGGCAGCTGCTTGGAGGTTTTTGCCAATGCCACTTTCTGGCTAGAAACCTTCAATTTGACTAGAAGAAAGAAGTAAATGTGGCTGATGTAGACACAAATATTACATTTGGAACTAAAATATCAAAATATTTCACAACAGAGTTGTTTTTGATCAAGCCGCTAAAAGTACCTGCTGTGAATACTTGATAAAACTTATTCGATATTATCAAAGTAGTGTCTAAATTCTGTCGCTCCACAATTAGCTTCAGCACAGCTTTGATGCTCAAAATTTGTCCCTTGGCTTCCAAAGGGATCAACTCATATTCATTCTATTCAGGAGCAAATTAAAAAAAATAAAAAATACAGATTGAGATTCAATCCCAGTAAACACTTGATAAGTTTATTGCTCGGGAGTTTCACTTCTTATTAAATACAAACTGAATTTTAGTAAATTATTGTCCCCAGTAGAGTCAAAAAGTATGATAGATTATGTTTTAGGCAGGCCTACCTCATGAGTGACTAGTTGCTACTCTATGACAGTGCAGTTGGTCAACTTTTTTACACTTTCGGTAAAACAAGACAAGGTGAGTATAAAGCAAACAAAAACTTAAAGGAACACAGAGTATAGTGTCAAATTAATTAAATAGTTAGTAGCAGAGGAGGTTGGTATTCGGTTTTAACTGCTTTGGTGTTAATGAAATGAACAGCAGGTGCACTAGAGGGGCAACAATGAAACAACCTCAAAACAAGAACAGTTTGGCAGGTGGAGGGCACTGACATTTTCCAGCCCATCTTTTCTGACTGTTTTTTCACTAGCTCTGTATTTGACCAGGGTCAGTGTCCAACTCCCCTAGGATGGCACATCAATACATACCTTTGTCAGGTTTGCTATGTCTCTCAGCACAGTCTCAAGAGCATAGAGGAGATGCCTTGAGACAAGCAGATACTCTTGGACAGGACTCCAGAAGCTCCTTAACCCATCAGCAGGACCAGTATCTACTCAGGAACAGCAAGAGCCACAAAATTAGATCCTTCAAGTCACTTGTGTAAATATCCCTGACCAAACAATCAGAGAAAGATTTCATGAGGGTGGCTTTAGGGCCCAAACATCCTCTAGTGTGCCCTGTGCTCATGTCCACTGCACAATGGAGCCAGGTTGGATTTTGCCTCCCTGTGCTTTTCACAGATGAGAGTAGGTTCACCCTGAGCACATGTGACAGACATGAAAGGGTCTGGAGAAGCTCTGGAGAAGGTTATGCTGCCTGTAACATCATAAGGCATGGCGATGGGAGGCATATCCATGGAGAGACACACAGACCTCTATAGGCGTGGCAGCAACGCCCTGACTGTCATTAGGCATGAGTGAAATTTCATCAGAATGGGCTAGCCTTCCACTTTGATTTTCAGGGTGTCTTTGAATTCAATCCTCTTTATGTTGCCCATTTAAATTTTTCATCAAACATTGTGGCATCCTTTCATTCCTAATACACTAACCAGTACCAAATTGGCACAGCTATCCTGACTTAAAAAGATATCTACTGACATGGCAAAAAGATTTCCACTTACACAAAAGCTATTCATTCGTGTAGTTAAAGTGTCAAATTAAACGTAGATAACAACTTCACTATCCTGCAACTTTTTTGATTCACGCACTGCTATTTTTACAGTGACAGTGCAACAGAGACTGAAATACGGTGATTACATGAAATCAATGAGAGCACTTGCCTCAAGGGCCAAAAACTGTCTGCAAACATTCTTCCTCTCAGCGTGTATGAGTGAGACAGCACTGTACAGCAAGTTACAAATCATGTCAGAATAAGTATTATCCTTACATTTACACTGGTTTCCACTCTTAAAGTCATGATGTGCAGCAGTACAAAAGTGTGTGTGCATGGGGTTTTGTGTGTGTAGGTGTTTGTGTGTATGTGTGTGTATGAATGGGCTGGTTTATTCATAGACACCTTTACCACTTAGTATCACATTTGTCAATGTCAGCCTAATCCCTCCTCATGTCAACACTTAATTAGTAACCCTGGCAACACACACACACACACACACACACACACACACACACACCACACACACACACACACACACACACACACACACACACACACACACACACACACACGCACACACACACATGGTACGAAAACTTTTCTCGTGCCTATGGTACGACAACGGTTTCCAGGGTTATTATCGTAAGTGTTGACAGGCAAACTGCTGAAAAACAACAACAGCTCTCTGCAGTTTATTATACGGATGGGTGTGGATTCCAAGAAAAACATGGATGATGTCAGATTTTACAGTCAAAGTTAAATTAACACAACATTTTCACTGCAAAATCTTAAAAAATAAAAATAAAAATGACAACCAAAAACTGCAAACAAGTCTGTTCCAGTCATGGGCAGAGCATTTTATTTCATTTTGCACATCAACATGAAATTTTGCAAAAGATAATCAGAGAAAGCATTACTTGAAATAAAAACTTAATTATCTTAATTAAAACAGTGTTAACCAAGTATTACTGCTAAAAAATGTATGAGTATAGATAGTGCACACATCATCTTCAGCGATTCAAAGATTCTCCACTCAGCTAAAGAAAAAGTGGGGGTTTGTCCCCATTTTGCCATTAGAATAACATTTAATCTGTGTCATTTATTATATTTATATAAATTAATAATAATTTATTGATTTATACAACAGTAGCAGTGTAGATTAATAAACATAAATGTAAAGTTATCCAAAATGCTACACTGTGAGTCTAAATGCACCAGCACATTAGGATGTCATTGCTGCTCATTGCGAGCTACAACTGTGCGATATGGAAGGAATAAATTTGAGTGGGACATCGAGTCTGATGCTTGTAGACCAGTGGTGTCAAGATAAGGCCTGAGGGCCAGAAATGGCCCAGCAAAGACACCAATTCTTAACACTTAAGATCAAAGTGGGCTGTATGTCGCACGATATTTAAAATGAGGTTTATATCCCTGTTGTGGGGTGTCCACCATGACGCCGTTGTGGGAACAGCTACTAGAAGCATCATACAAACAAGCTTTTGCTATCACAATTCAGCTGCATTTTCTGCTCTATCAGAAGCACAAACATTTTGTTTTGCACGTTTAGTTTTTCATTTATTCTCCTTGATCGCTGGTAAGTTTAGAATTTTAATGCTCCATTCCTATTGGTTGATTCTTAGACAGTATTTATAATGGTAGACTCTCATCTTCAATTTCTAAAATTGCCAGCTTTGGGCTTCGATCACTGAGCAGTGTAAGACTTCTGATATGGAGGCACAACCAATATAATATTTAGTCTCTTAAAAAAGACTAACTGCACTTACTGAGATCCTACATGAGACATTTAAATGCAGATAAAATCCTTAGTAGGTTTAGGCTGAAAGTCTATATAATTAACAGATTAATGCTGATTTCATCAGACTAGGTGTAATGTCAAAGAGCTTTCTTAAAATGAAAAAAAAAAGCAGAAAATGAGCTGACTCTGCAGTTCCCCTTAGCATTGCAAACCATTTTAGCCCCTTTTAGATGGTTATTTTGCTTTTCTTGTCTCTGAATGACCTCTTTACTTATAGCCCTAAAAGTTCTGCGTTTGCCTTATATTCCTTAAAAAGCTTTACTTTCGGACAGCTTTACATTAGCTGAAAATCACCAGAATGATGGACTGACAGAGCTGATAACAAGCTATCATTTAAAGACCTCAGCATGTTATTTTCAGAAGTTATAATGACACTGAGGATGAATATTAAAGGAAATCCAGATTTTGTCTGTGTGTATTAGATGGACACTTATCATGATCTAACTTGGTGACGACCCTAAGCCTAACACACATCAGAATGTATTTATGTCCCCCTGCCTCGAACTGTTGTTGCTTATGCATGTTTTTTGACTAGAATGAGCACTGTAGTTTGAGTGGATTATAATACATATCATACTGCTGAAAAATGTCCATTTACCAGCAAAAATACTGTAGTTCACTCTGCATTTATGCTCTTTTACTGAAGCCACTTTCCTAAAAAAAGTATTATATCATACGAGTATGACCTTAGTCATCACCTGTTGATGAATAATCCTCATAAATTTGGAATTGTGAAGAAAACCCAGCCCCATTTTGATGGTGCGCTAGTGAGATGCTTCTGCAGTGGGCATTGCTCTGTGCACCTCCTGAAACTGGTTACAGTTGGGATCCCCTCTGACTTTAGGTGTCTCTGATATCTGGACTCCTGTTAAGGGGTCAACACACCAGCATTCTCCCCGCTGGCCGTGGGTGGACATGTTGCACTGGAAGGAGAGAAGAAAAACACAAACTAGGCAAGATGGAAAACACTGGGAAAAAGAGGTGGGAGGGTAAGGAAACACAGTGAAAGCAGGGGATGCATTAATGAAGCATGGCGTAGGGTGGCTTGAGATTTGTGTTCATGTGTGTGTGTGCGAGGATCTTCTGGCGGCGGGGGGTCATTGGATGAGAGTGAGGACTGTGATTCGGGTGGGACAACACTCACCCAATAACAGCCTGTCCTCAGGTTATGCCCCCTACACACAACCCATCCACAGCCACACATGTGATCGCAAACACTCCCACACATACACGCACAAACGGAGGCATGCCAGCAGACTAGCTCCCCTGCAGAGCCCACCCTTCCCCCCCCAACCCCCTGAAATGAGGTCGTAATTGAAGTGGACACAGTTTACGCCCCGCGTGCGGGGCAGCCGGGTAGGGGACGGCGAAAAGAATGAAGAGCTGGGGGGAAAGAAAAGACTTTCCATTTTCTTCCTTCGATGAGAAAGAACAAAAAAAGTGACAGTTACAGTAATTACCGCGCGACAAGGAGGGACAACTCCAAAAGGGAGCCGAGTGTTGAGGAGGTACAGTGTTCCTCCCTGGGAACCGTGGACTCTAGTCCAAAACAATGCTGTTGTTTGTGACCGGTGATGAAAATTGGCTGAGTGGTTGAGAGCCCTGCTTTAGGAAACGGTGGCGCCTATTCAAATCTTCTTTTCTGCTCTACTATCCTCGTAAGAAAACACTGGATATGTGACCTTGTTTGTCCTCCCCTGTCTGATGTCTATGGATGGGCATAATACAAATTCAAGCCCCCAGTCGGAAGCACAGTTCGTTCCTCGGCTTAACAAAAGTCTTCCCATGAAGTACGCCAAACAGTTTTATTGCCTTGTAACCTTGAGCTCAGAAGCTTGTTGCCTCATTCATGATGACAACATCTCCCCATGCATTTGTGCGTTTGTGTGTGTGTTTAAGAGCAGAACGCTAAGGAAGAGGCGGGTGTGAGAGTTTATTAAGAAAAAAGACAGGGGGAGGAGGCAGGTGGCAGGAGTGAGAAGGAAGTTATACTTTTGCCAGGGTGATTTTGCCAGGCTGATACAAAGGAATTGTGTGAGTGTGACTCAGACAATAAGAGAAAAGAGAGGGGAAACCCCACAAAGTAATACGTGGGTGAAAGAGGAAAAACCAAAAAGAAAGTCTGAGGAACTGAAATGAAAATGTGAAAAGCGAAGGAGGAAACATAAATGCACTCAAAACTTTAATGCGTTACACATGTATAGGCACAAGAATCTCCACTGATACCGAAAGCCACAGAAGCTCTTTCCCATCATCAAAGTCAGCGGTCATTACTTACATAACCACCAGCAAAGTTTAAAACCTGTTGACATCTGCAACCACTTGAGTTTGTTATGGTCTTGTGTTACAGATCACCACGAAACAGTAAGTCACCAGCAAATCCCACAGAGCATAAAACCGCCATGTATCTGCTCACTATGGGCTGAATCACCAAAACATGCCACAGCAATAGCAGGAACCGTAGGAGTGATGTCACAGCAGGTGTGCTGCTTTTTGACAGCAGATGGAAAACACCTGCTGTGACAGCACTGACTGGGGTGTGGCCGTTATTGTGAAACTCGTGAGTTTCCTGATGCGTGATTCAGTGTTCGTATTATTCGGCAAAGATGACAAACGAGTTTACAGTACATGTGAGTAGATCTGAATAATGGAATTAGTCCAACGACGAGAACGTTTTTTGTTGTTTTTTTTGAGTAGTTCAAATGAAGGATGAGGCGTGAAATTCAGTGGAACAATGTGAAACACTGCTTAGACACCAGTGTTTCATTTGGTTTGGTGGGTTTGTAATTTTCTATGATTTTCAGTTTTACTTAACAACAACTGTAAAAGATTTTAATGCCATTCTGAAACTGAAATGTGGCCACAACGGTATAACCTGTGTCTTCCGTGTCCTTTGGCTTTTTGTATAAGCAGAGTGCGGCTCTGAGCACCGTAAATGGTGCTCAGCAGTGGAAGATTTGATAAACAAAAGGGTAACTGGTCAAGAAATGATGTCTCTCAAACTGAACTTTTAGACTACCCTGGGCAAAGAATGGAAAACGAGGCACGTGGCATTGTAAAGCGCTTTGGGTGCCTTGAAACGCGCTATATAAAATCCAATCCATTATTATTATTATTATTATTATTATTATTATTATTACTTGGACAACAAAGGTGACCTGTTTGGGCTTGCTACTTTCTGTTTCCACCTTCAAACTGGTTACGGATTTACATGAGATTGTTACTCTAAAAATAGATAGATACATTTAGTGACTCACCTGACATTTGTATACACCCCATAAACAGAATCACATCAAAATAAGCCATAAGCACACAATACTCAGTCACTTGCACTCTCCTTGAATTTTAGAGATCATTTTGGGCATACCAGTATGTGTTGCACATGTTCAGAGTTTTGATGGTTTGATGAATGAAAGATAGTTTGGACCTGGTTTTCTGAACAACGGGGGCAGCAATTTAGATTTCCCCTTGATGGATGAAAGTTTCCTCAAAACTATATTCTTTGTTGTGCCTTTCTGCTCAGGCATTCAGTTCAAAAATCCTATTCCAGGATACCTGTACTCAAAATTAAATGAAAATGCTACCACATTAGGCTGTGTCCATGCAGGAATTAATTCAAGGTGAACAGAGATCATAAAAACTAATGACATATGGCACCTTCAACCTGGCAAGATAACTGCTTGGTACCCAAGATAAACTTTTTTAAACTTTTCTCAACTTCCAGTTCGGTGATTGAAGCAAGTACCAATGAGTGTGTAAGGTAATGCTGATTGACACATTACCCAGCAGTAGATACATAACAGTATAACCTTCTATCATCTCTTTTGAGTCTGATTTCCAGTGAGAGGATGAACATAAATATGCAATAGATCACATTTAGGTAAGATGACTGATGGACTCATCACACAACAACCCCCAACCAGGAGTCTAAGACATGGCTTTAAGATGTGTATCATAAAACTCGCATTATTAAACATCTTTGCTTCTGCTTGTGATCAAAAAGGTTCTCAATTCTAGTAACTTAACTAATATCCTTTTGGAGATTTTGTTGCCTGGCTCTCTTGCTAGTTGCTGTTGGGGCAGATCGATCTTAAAGTCGAAAGCTACTCTAGTCACAGCTTACAGCAGTTTGGCTACACTGACCACATCAAGGCTGGACAATATGTGGAATAAGAAACTCACTGGAGAGGCAGTCAGTTATACTGTTGTGAAGATATCAGTGGAATCCACACTGACAGTCTGACCCTGAGAGACTAAATAATAGCAGCCCATCATCCTGCTGGTTGCACTCATGACCTGATGCATCATGTTCATGCTTGGATTCTCGGTCTTAGCTGAAGACAGCTGACATGACCAATAATTATCCTTTAAAAGAAAGTAACATCACTTTGACGCACGGGTGGCTGAGGTCCACAGACACAGAAAGTTCTACCGGAATTTAACTTGAAGAGAAGATCATCTAAAGCCATTTTTTTTTAATTTACTTGACCAAATTTGGAGATATTTTTTGTTTGCTTCTCAGGTTTTCCAGCATTGTTTGGCAGGCTTTTTGCAACAAGGGCTATTTCTTTCTTCCTTTTATGTCTACCCTCTCGTCAATGGGAAGTCTCAATTCTTTCTTTATTATGCTTCAAATTATATCCTGTAAGAATCTAAAACATAAAATAACAAAAACGTGAAAAGTCTTACCATACATATATCATGGATGGGTCTCTTGTGAATTTATCTGACCCAAATGTTCTCTTTTGTAAAATAATGTGACGTAGGACAGGTGATATGCCAGCAGCTCACCTGCTTGAGGTTATACAGTCCATGTTTGTCACAGTTTGGAAACTTGAGCTCATACAGGTTCTCCAGTGGGCCTCTGTTATCCTCTGAAGGCATTTTAGCAATCTCCTCTAAGACCCTGTCCAACTCCTGCTGACAGGCACTCTACATGATGAGGGAGAAAAACAACAGTGAGTAATTAACATGTACAAATACACCTGTAGTCACTTTTAGGCGAGGCAAAAAAGAGAGGTAGGTTAAATTTGACTTGTGCTGGAGGCCGAGCAAAATGTTCTCCAACAAAAAAAAAGAACAGTGAAATAAAATACATCTGTGCATCTTGTAAAAATGTCACAAATATACACATTTATAGTTAACATTTTTATGAGCCACAGTTAGACAAGCAGCAGTTCAGCCAATATTATTGATGTGAGTCTGCTGGAGCGGAACTTAACTGACTGGGCTGCTTAACTCAACTGGTGGCCACGACCATGACCACACAGACACACACACACACACAAACCTGTGCTTTCATGCACGCACAAAATTCTTAGCACACTTTTCCTGTACTTACTCTTCTTGTTCTGCACATTTACAGTGTATTCAAGTGTGCACTGTAATGCAGACACACACACCGAGTGCCAGTCTACCCGTGGGATCAAAGGGGTCTGTTCTTATGATTAGTTGGCTGAGGATGAGAGAAGGGAGCGGGAGGAGGCACAGTCTGCCACGAACCTTATCAGACATCTGAACATATAGATGAAAAGCCCTCTCCCCCTCTCTCCGTGTTAGACTCCTTTTCTTTTTCCTAATAAAGACATACATAAACCAACATGTCAAAGACAACTTTTAGTTTCAGAGCAGAGTCCCTGCTCCTACATATTGGGACGTTAGTGGCCAGATTAAGATGGTCCCTGGACTGATTTTGGGCTGTATTTTGCCCATGTGTGCTCTTGAAAGACTCGTGTTGAGATTGATGTCTCAAGACTGGACAAGCAGTCCTTAAGTTGTAATTTAGACACCCCTTTTACAGAAGTGGTTTGGTGTAATAGTCTTTATCTTTTTATTTTTATTTACTGCAGCCTGTCACCACGACTGACCTGATGATGTGCCTGGAGTTTCTCTTCCAGTTTGGGAGTTCAGCTCCTAATACTTCTATTACCACTTAGGACTTTAACCTCCACATCTGCTCCAGTTGTTCCTGGCACTTCTTTATTTTCTTGTGCTCCTTCTTCCTGATGTTGCTGTCCACTGAGATTGCCACATCTATTAAAATTGTGGTCTTCATTGTCAACCACCACTATGTCTGATTGGTTGGCCAGCAACTTGTCTGTCTGGAACTCGAAGTCCCACTGCACTGTTGTTCTCAACATCCTGTGGTGGTATCTCCGATTGGGAGTTACGGACTTCTAATCTGTATATGGTACAGATGTGCCCGTACACTATCTTAGCCACATCTTCTGTCTGTCTATGATACATCCCATGCAGGGCCTTGGTCTTCCATAATAGTGTTCTAATCCTCTTCAATCCCGCCTGTTAACCCCAAGTAGGTGGATCAGTAAATTCATGTCTCACTCACTTATGACTGACAGCTGATGGTTTCACCACTCCTGAATCTACAGTATATCTGTGTTCACTCTTTGTTATGAGCTGGTTTAGGGGGAGGCCTATGCAGAACCGCGTCACCTTGGTATATCCTGCACTTGATGGTAACTTGTGAAATTCCCTGGAATGGGTCTATAGTGTTCTCTTCCACAGCCCCATGTACTTCCTGATGAATGTTATCAGTGCACTGTTAGCCTCGTACAGTGCCAAGCACTCCACAATCCATGTGTGGGACACTGAGTCATGGGCTTTCTTGTAGTAAATCCCAGTGGGGCTCAGGTTAGCCTTCCTGGTCTTAAAGTTCTGGTTTATGCTCTGTCAGCTAGTAGCTGGTGCTCTGACCCTTTTAAGCTGCACTTATGTGTTGAGTTCTTTGATTATTGCTCATTCTGAGCTTTGGCTGTGTCTGTCTGTATACTTGTTCCCTTGCAGTTCAGAGCACACCCTGGATGGGCCTTTGAAGAACAGATCATCTCACTTGCAAGAACCAAAATTCTAAATGTTAGTTTATTGATAATGAAATTTAAAAAAACTGGTCAAAAAGGCTGCAGTTTGGGGAAAGCCTTATTAGGAATCAGCAGCAGTCGACTGGTTGTGGGCATACCATGAGTCAGACGACAATCTTCAACCTGGGCTCCATAGAAGCATCTGTCATTCTAGATGGTTAGTCATCCCAAAGTACATTTCCACTGCTCTGTTTTATCAGGGTTGTGCATACCGCTAAGCAGTGTTGGGACTAACGCGTTATTAAGTAACGCGTTATTAAGTAACGCGTTACAGTAACTATGTTATTATTGTGGTAACGAGCACGGTAACTAGTTATTATGCCAAAATCAGGAACGCGTTACTCGTTACTGGGATTTAGATAGGCTCGTTATTCGTTACTTCGTGTGGTGACTATCGCGGAGCTTCCACAGATTCAGTAACATTAGCATGTGGTGGAGGCCAGCAGGTGGATGAGGGAAAGGGGAGGCAAGAGGAGAAACCCAAAGCGGCCGCCGGTCTGGCTGTCAGGTGAACTGAACTTCAGGTAAGAAGTTATGACCTGCAGTCTATCTGGGTCAGATATAAACAAAGTTTAGGTGGAGTTTATTTTCGTTATGCTGAGTTTTTCGTACTGCGTGCTAGCTAGCATGACGGGGTTTCTATACAGCTGGGTGGGTGCTATGATGTTACTGATGTTGAACTTTATTTTGTTCATAAGGTTAATTAGTAGAGTTGCCAACCGTCCCGTAAAAAACGGAATCGTCTCGTATTCAGAGAAAATATTACGCGTTTAGTATTGAGGTGAAAAGGAAAACAGTTTGTCCCGGACTTCAGCTACAATGAAAAAGACACAAAGCTGGAGTTATTCTGTCTTTTGCTGTCAGCTGCCTCTTCTTCTCTCATTCTCTCCCTCTCCCGTTTCTACTTCAATCATGAAACTGATCAGCTGGTTACTGTGCAGGGGGGGCAAGGTAGGGCCTTAACAGGGAGAGGGGCGCACAAAGAAATACTTTTCTTTCTTATTCTCATTTAAAATGTCTAGCTTTTAAAAAATAATTATTTGAGCCTTACAACAAACGATTGATAGATTAACGCATATGTACCATCAAGACAGTGTACATCACTGTCACAACAGTGTTTGTTTTCATTCAAAGGCTTTATGATTTTTCCTATAATGGTGGGCCGGTTTCTAGTCAAAATGCCCAGGCCAATTTTTTGTCACAGTCCAGCCCTGTATGCAGCTCATGTGCAGTCTGGTGTTACCTACATCTTCCTATTCAGAAGGCAGAATTTCCGAGTTCTGAGTACAATCAAAAGCACCACGACTGCAGTTTTTGTGTTGGATGTAAAAAGCGCACATGACGCTGTGACGTAGGCTAGAATCATGGCAGCAGTCAACGACGGTTCCCAGTGCGCTGTAGCCGCTGAATCACTATCTTCAGCAGTAGCTTTCTTTTACAGATGTTAGAGCACTGAGGTACCAGAGTGGATCTTTGGTCTTGGGCTCTTCTATAATTCCCACTTGTTGCATATAACCTCTCTCATTAGGTCAACAGTCAACAAAATAACAGCTGGATAGTCTGGTAGCAACATTGGATCAGTGGTTTGATTCCAGGTCAGCCTAGGCACCCAATGCTACTTGAGCCTATGTTGGAATATGAGTGAGCTGGCTTAATGAGGTCTGCATCATGTGTTAGGGAACTAGGGTACACTGATGAGAACCTGACTATTATACTTGTTATTGGATTATTGGATTGCAGTAATTTAATCTTTATGAATTAAGTTGGATACATTATATCTTACATTTTGTTATTGGCTTTGGAAGATATGGACACCACTCTTCCCTGTGTCCCTCTCTGTACTGTGGAGCCACAGACTGGCCCATTGGTATCTTTTTCTATAAAAATGGGCTGGTTCCCTCTTACATGTCTGCATGTACTTAATGAATATGGCTGTCACAGTTTTTTTTTATTTTTGTCAAAAAGAAAATTGAGAGAGACAAAAAGAGAGAGAAATCTGTCACAACCAGAGCTCTGACAGTGAAGCCTGTGTTCAGCATATAGCTCTATGATCTCCAATGACTATTCACAACAAAGTGCATATACTCAACACTAGTCATTTGAAGTCCCTCCCCTTGCCCAGCTGCACGACTCCTTTTACTGCACTGTCTCCTTTGTTGCTTCTAATGATCTTGACATTGTATTGTACCGCCCCGCTTATTATTTCTTGGTGTATTTTGTTTTGTTTGGCTGCAAGCGAGGTTGTTAAATGAGGGAGAAAATGAGCAAAAGCATATCATTGTTTGTCTTATTGAGACATATATGGGCGTCCATATGCGTAGCCCCCTTCAGGCCCAAGCTCATTTGCATGAAACAGGATATGTGTGCTTGCACGCCAGCCCATTGACGACTTTCTAGGAACTGTTTTTAATTCTTTGCGGTGTTGCACTGTGAAATGATGAGTGAGTGCTAAAGAATGGAAGGGGGCGGGGTTTTAATGTAAAGACTGCATCAAACTGCCAACTGCCACTCCACTGTGGTGAGAAAAACAAGATCACTTTTCATAGTAAAGGTGCTCATTATGAGCAGTTACTGAAGACGCCTGTGGCTGAATAGGGGCACTGTTGCTTCTGCAACTTTCTATTTAATTAACAAACGCATCAGTAAATCATCAGAGTGGAAATGTGTCATTATGTTTGAAAGCATTTCAAACACAAGGCCTTCAGCTGCCAAAGCTATACAAAGAATTTCTCTACAAACAAATAGTCGTTGCATTAAGAATCTGATGGCACTGTAACTGTCACCTCAGCTCATATCAACTGGTGTATTTTTCAACACTCACAGTTTCTATTAAAGCACATAAATGAGCTCTTATATTAAAGCATGGTACAGGGTGGAAAATGTGGAGCCTACCAAGTAAGCTATGAACTGAGATTGAGCTGGACCTGTAAAACGCATAAAAATATAGAGAATGTCAAGGATTAAAAAGTGAGTGTGTGTTTATTGTGTGCACATGTTAATCTGTTTGTCTGAGTAAAACAGTGCCCAGAGGAGGGCACCACTGTACCAGACATTATTGCTCACACAGCACATTTTTGACCTTGTGTCACTGCTTCTTTTGATGGGCAAACATTTCGCTGTATCCTGTAATGATTATCTTTTGTAGGCCTAGAAAGAAGATGTAACATAGGCAGGTAACGAATAGGCCCCTACATTACACACTGCTGAGATTTTTTTTTTTTCTTTTCAGCTGTTTCTTTTTAACGACATGCTTCTTTGTTTCCATGTCAGGCAGATGAGCTGCAGGGGAGGTTACAATATATAATTACAACAGTTTTGCTCATACGATTTATAATAACTTGTGGATCCAATTATGTCAGACATGGAGCCAATATACTTCAGGTTACCAGTTAGTCTACAAAAACAAATCCCAGTGAAATGAACCCTGAATTGTTACCTGTAGCTAAATTATAGGAAAAAGATTTAACCCTGACCTGAGATACTCTCTGATTTATCTTCATCCTTGTTCTGCGGTCCTGAAGGTACTGTTCGAGGGCGGTCTTCTGCCAAATCCATGGGTTTAGAGGCGGTCTCCCGGTGAGTGGATTTTCAGTCCCATGCACCTCTGCAGCAAATAAACACACAAAGCAAATGCAGTTAATGTGTAGCATATGTCCAGATAAACATTCAGACTTCATGGCTTTTTGGTTTCGATCCTTGTGTAACATTCAATACTTGTTAGGTTCCTAGAAAACCTTATTTTGAGTCATTTGTTTGAGTATGAAAGTTTTCTTGTGGTTTCTTTAGTTAACAAACAGATGTTGTACACACTAAAAATTGCCTCACAGTTTTTAGTGTGTACAACATCTGTGCTTACTAAAATGCTCAAGACTCATCTATATTTATCTATTCAGTAATCAAAGCTACTATTAAAAGTAATTATTTATCTAATAACAGGCCCTTTGAAAAGTTGTCTTAATCCTAGAATTAAAGGACAAAGTCATCTGTGTCCTCAAGGCATCCTGTGTCCCTCCTGCTTCATGTGACTAATTCTGTGCAGCCAGCCGTTGTGTGGACCAAACCGTGCTAAGATGTTTTTTGTGAAATGGCCAAGTGCTACATCCAGCCCATTTAGGTTTAAAATACTGAGCTACACTGAGCAGTGGGGGTCTCTGTGAGAGCAGTTACTGTTGACTGTTATAGCAAAGTATGTTCATCATTTGGTGGCGACAGGAGAAACAAAGCACAAACAACAAAACAATTCACTGAGGTCATTCAGGGCAGATCCAGACAGTGAATTTAACGATGCTGATGACTGTAACTTTAAAACAGAACTACATCAGGGGGTTAAAACTGTATGGACTTTCATCAGCGTAGCAGTCAAAACAGTCATGAATTATAGTCCTAAGGTAGACTGGCAGTCAGTGAAGGTGAGTCCAGACTCGTGAGGATGCACATCTGATGAAGGCTTTTCGTGCTGAGTAAGGATTTTTTATGGCATCTAACTTTCCTGCCAGAGGCTTTGTGGGTGTGTGAGAGTGTGTATTTGTGTAAGACCGTGTGTGTCTGTAATTAGCACTGAAGCAGAAGAGGTTGTAAATCAAGCCTGAGAAGGAAGCCTTCCCCCAAATCTTGGGAGCTCCTTACACATGCCATGGCACTGTCTGAATGTGTCTGTGCTCATGTGTGCTGGTGCACGCTCTGCCAGGTGTGCAAAATGAGCAAGTCCGGCTTCTATGTTGCTAGAAACTTGTGTCTTACAAATCCCTTTCTGGCAAATTTGGAAATTTCCTCTTGAAAGAAAATTAAAGCAATTAAAGAAAAACAAAAATAAATCATAACTAAAAAAACAAAAGTGAATTATTTGACCAACAAATGTTTTCAACACAATTACGCTAATTTTTATTTTATGTAGCATCAGTTTACATAAACACTTGCCTTAAGGCGCTTTGTACTCCACCTGTATTACAAAGTAAAGATCCTACTATATTAGAGTGATAACCCCAAATCAGTTAATTCCCTATGGAGAAGCAGTTGGTTACAAAGGGGAAGAAGAGATGCTCAGTGCATCATGGGAAGTCCCCCAGCAGCAGCAGCATAACTAAGGGATGGTTCAGGGTCACCTGATCCAGACTTAAGCTTTACCAGAAAGCAAAGCTTAAAGTATGAACCCTAGCCTTAAAAGTAGAGATGGTGTCTGTCTCTCAAACCCAGACTGGGAGCTGTTTCCATGGGAAAGGGGTTTGATACCTGAAGGCTCTACTTTTAGAGCCCAGTCTACTTTTAGAAACTCAAGGAACCACAAGTGAGCCTGAAGCCTGGGAGCAAACTTTTAGGTTGGGTTAGTATCATACCATGCAGTCTTTGTGATAGGATAGAGCCTGATTATACAAGACTTTGGATGAAAGAAGCATTTTAAAAGGACCAACATTTAACATGTAAGAAACATAAAAATGTGTTCATAGTTTCCCAAATGACAGCGTTCTACCACCACTGTCTTCACTCCTACAATCACTGAACCTATAGTACTCCTGTGTATATCATACAATGAGAAGTACTCATCAGGTTTGGAGAATTACTAGAAATTTGAAGGTCAGTACCCATTCTCTCTAGATGTGTTCCTAGTAAAACACTGACTCCAGGTTAATCAGGAAGATAGTCTGAGCGGTGGAAAAAGGACCAAGGAAAGGTTCAATAGGTACGTGGAAGCTAACCCCCCGGGTTCATAGTTTTACAGGGTCTTGTCAAATCACATGTTGCGTCCTGAATGAAAGAAAATCCTGATTTGGAAAGAAAGCATTTTAAAGTTGATAGAAATTAGCAAAAATCTAAGATGACAAGTCACAATGCTTCTGGAAGTGTTTTTGTAAGACACATCTGCTCTTTGGTCACAGAGGAATGTAGAATGAACCCCACCCCCACTGTAAAACATGGAAGAGGCTCAGTTTGATGCATCTGGGACACAATGAAATGAGAACAATGAAATTAGATGATCTCCAAGACATTCTTCAGAGAAGCACTATCCAGTGTCAGGGACCTGTTATTTTCTAAAGGAAAAGGATACCAATAATTATGGCTAGTTTTTCATTTAGCTTTGCATATCATGTCAGTTAACAGAGGCAAATGGTGGACGATGGCCATAGACCCTGCCAAGGCTGCCCTTTGTCAACAATTATGTTCATAAGTTCTACGGACAGAATTTCTGAGAGAAGCCAAAGTGTTCAATTTTGTGGTTTGGGATAGTGCAGTGAGGCAGAGCTCAGTTGTTCAAGAGGGGCTGGAGGTAAAGCCTGTGATACTCTATGTCAAAGGGAGCCAGCTGAGGCTGTTTGGGAATCTCTCTAGCGTGCTTCCAAAGTGAGATGTCCAACCAAGAAGAAACCCCGGCGAAGACCTTAGACCAGCAAAAACATCCACTGGCTTGTAAACAAAACGGAATAAGTGGATGGGTGGATGGATGGACCAAATTTCATTGTAATCCATCCAATCTTTAGTGGTATATTTTTATTTGCAACAGTACTGGACAGACTGGTTGACCAGCGTTACTATCCCTCAAGCCAAAATCGTCTTCTTATCGAGATTGGAAAGATTCACATGTGAGCTCCACGTGGACAGACTGTGACCATAAATGAGTCCTTAAGTTTCAAGCGGTCAAATTAAATTCCCTACAATCTGTCAGTGTTGACTACATGTAAAAGCTTCCAACCTCCACTTCAGCATACAAATTCAGACTTTTGTTCCAAGTTTTGTTAAGATATTCATGAACTGCGAAGGAATCTTTGACTTGGGAAGGTTTTGCAGGGCACATCAAGCAAGGGCTTGCTTTTAAAAAGAAATCATATCTGCCGTCAGAAACACATAAAAGCATTTTATAGCTTCACAACATAAATGTTAGTGGAAGAAAATGGATGGATGGGTAATGTAAAGCATTATTTCCCCTTAGCAATGCAAAAGTGAATGCAGCAGGAATGCTGTGTTGTGGTTGAGTTAAATAAGGTAGATACACAGCTTGTAAACACTTTTCTGCGGTTGTGTTTGAACTGCCTCTACAGACACTTATAGGAACTCATGACTGCATTTTCAAGCAGAAAAAACCCCAAACTTGTCTTTAGCCAACAGCTGTCATCACAATACTGTGTTGTTGATTCTGTCTTCAGCGCCATAGAAACTACCTGTCTCGAGCTGTTTGCAGTGTTGGCTTTGGGTATTGCCTCGATGTGAAGCTTTCACAGTCCTCTCATAGCACAGAATGAGTAATGTCTTTCCAGAGTTGCTTAATGTATTTGTCCTGTTATCATATACAGCAGAGCTGGTCTCAAATTGACTGGGCTTTGACGTCCAAGAAAGTGGACTACTTTAAACCCACTGTCTGTGTAAATGGTTCCTCTTAAGCCCCAACAACTTCAAACACTTTACAGCTGGCAAATGTACAAAAAGAAACAGAATAATGAAGATCCCCTTCAGACCTTTTACAGTAAGCTCTCTCTTTCAACTCTTCTATGTGGCTGTGTGTCATTTTAAGCAATGAAGCTGCCTTTGTAGTTGTTAACAGGAAACTTTTGGTGCTTCTACACTGATTGTCAGGCTTAAGAGGCAAAAAGGTCAAAGTCAATTATTTTTCAAAACAGGCTCTCGGGTGCTGATATATTCATTGTAAACTTACCCCCAGAATGTTGTTTATATGTGATTGCTTCAAGAATATTTATCATTTATTTAAAAATTGCATTTAAGAAATAACCTTAAAACTCATTTCAGTTGATGCCCAACTCTTCAGTTTCTCCAGGAGCTTTACTAAATATACTTGATGCCATTAATTAAGAAGTAGAACCTGCGGCTTCACTTTTTCACAGCTTCTCATTAACTCTGTTTAACGGTGTAAAAAACTCTGAGAAAACCCACCAGACAGCAGAGAAACTATGCAGGTGAGGAGGCGTGAGAGCATTTCACTGCTCAAGAGTCCAGTAACACGGAGGGTTTGGCAGATTTTTTTATGCAGTTGTGTTGCATGCATACGCTCATGTGCAGGTGGTGTGATCCAATATATCTACTGGTCACTTCCGTTAAAGAGGTTTTAGGTCAGTTCTTACCAAAATGTATCTTGCAGAGAAAGGCCAGAGCCATGTTATAGTCTTTATGCCAGTGTGACATGTTTGTTTTTGTTTTGTTTTGTTTTAAGTAACTTTACTAAATACAACTAATATCCAAGGCATTAAAGCTTAAGATAAGTTTGTTGAATAACTGCAGGCTTATATTCCATCCCTGAACTCTGAGCTGACAATCCGGTTGTTCAGTGATCACGCGACGAATCCTACTTCCGGGTCTAAAGTAGTCTGCGTTTAATATAGCTTTTGTGTTGTTAACATGTTTAATGTTTTGTATTTTCTTCTATTTGATCTCAAAAAGCTCCTAAAACAGTCAGTGATCCCTGTTGACCTCCCTCGGCTTTTATTACCGCTAATCATTTATTTAAGCTCAGTTTTTAAAACCTTAGGATGTAGCTACAGCCCAGCCCATGCAGCAGTATATGAATGACTAACCTCGTATTGTGGATGGATTATCTCAGTTGTTCTCCTGGCTGAAGTTTGGTCCTTTTACAGCATCCTGCCATGCGATTACATTTGTTCC